TGTGTGAGTCCATTTTATGCCTGTTTCCTCATTTCCCGCTCTCTGTCGCATTATCCAGTATACTGCAACCAGGAAAATTATTGGCGATTGCTTCAGTCTAACTGACTACCAAGCCCTTCTGGTTAGTGTGAAAGGTATCCAACTACTAGTCTCAATCAGCCAGTAGTCTCAATGGCATGATGCATTTCACTGTGTTGGTAGCTGAGCAATAGAACACTCTCCAGTCAGTCTTGCCGATCAGGTTCGATTCCTGTTTGACATGCAAACATTATTATGCTAAAATGGTTAGTAGTAAATATGAAGCGCTTACTGAGGGATTTTATATCACCACTAGTGGGCATTAACCTCACCTCATATAACTCTTTGACCTTGGCGGCCTGTTTGAATTTTTGGGCCTGCTATTATAACATCTACATATTGCATCCAACCTATCATTCACTCCATTTACTAATCACCTACATATGAATTCTAACAGGATCATTTACTCTCGTAACTTTATTAATCATTTACGACCCAATGACTTTCATATTCCCACGAAATCAAGCAGGAAGCATCGTAGTGGTTGGCAGAGCGCTCTTAAACGTACACCAATACACTTAACCACGGTCCCTGTCATAATGAACACCAACTGCCGCTCTCTGCCTAACAAAATAATGTACCTACAATCCTTGATGTCCACTGACACTTATCACAATACTGCGATAATCACATTACAAGAAACATGGTTACATGAACTGTATGATGACAATCTCATCTCACTAAAGGACTTCATCCTATTTAGACAAGACCGATAATGCCGTTATAAGAAAAATGGGGGCGGCGTTGACACTTTTGTTCACTCCAAATGGTCTATTTCTAATAATGTTTGCTTCTCATTCTCAAATGACTGCATAGACTGTATCACCGTCAAATGTCGTCCCAAACACCTCGCCAAATATAAACAAATCTTTGTTACAAACATGTACATTACTCCTAGTTGCTCACTATCAGATCTATCAAATTTTGCTGATGAATTCACCATGTTTGCTGCTGCCAACTTCAACAACTCTCTATCTGTTATTATTGGTGACTTCAATTCCTGGGACTGCTCTTTTCTTGAAGCACTTGGTCACTCAAACATTGTCAAATTTCCTACTCGATTTGACAAAACACTGGATTTAGTTTTTACAAATGACGAAGGAATCTATGAAGCACATAAACGTGCACGGATGCTTAACTCTGATCACTGTATTGTTCGTGTTTTACCAAAAATATACAGCAAAACACATATTACAGTCTTCTCACACTTGTCTATGAAAGCACAACAAAGATGCTACTCATCTGACAACTTACTCAATCTAAGGCGCATGTTAAAAATACTAACTGGGATTTATTCCGTGAAAGTTCATTAGATGACACAATTGCCAATATAACGGATTATCTTAATTTTTGCCTTGATATATGCTGTCCCAAACAAACACTATCCAAACGCCTCGACCGCTTCTCGTCTCCTTGTCTCAAACAACTTCGCAGGCAAAAAGAAACATTATACAAATCCAAAGATAAGTTAGGACTCAAAAAGATTAATGCTGTTCAGCTTTACCTTTGCTACCGACATGCCAATATACTGTTGTCATAATGAACTGAGATTTCCTTAATCTATGTAGAATTCTATTTATTGATAATGTACTAACTGGATGCAATACTGTTGTAAAAAAATGCTGAGAATTCCATTATACATCACAAGTACTGTTTTGGAATAAAGCAAATTATTATTAGTTTCCTAGTTCACTAGTTTACAAGCCATTTCTTTGCCTAGAAAAGTGGGGAAGGTTGTTCACGTGACTAGCGTTCCGACCATGGAAAATCAACCTAATCGCTACATAAAATATAGAAAATGAACTTATTCATCTCTTGAATCGAAGAGATGGAATGATGTGGGTTGGTGAAAGCCTTCAAGAATCCGGTAGGCCAAAACTATTACTTCAACACCACAAAGTACAGTGTGAAAATCATTGTCACCTTCATTCAAAGCAGGATTGATAATGGAAGCCTTATTCGTCGAATTCACTTAAAAAATCTGGAGTAGAAATGATTCCACACTCGCTCAGTCGAACATCTGGATAATTTCACTACCCCTAAAACGATGAATATGAAGGATTAAAGGGAACTATAAAACGAAAGTTTCAAAGTTTTGTAGGCCTACAATTGATATGGTCATGAACGAGAATAAATTGTGTTTGAAACTTTGTCATGCAGTAAATAATACTGTTTCATCACTGTGTAGTATGTCCATGTAATAAACAAATTAGTATTGAATTTCATCCTATATCTATTTTGACGATAAAAAACGAGATTAAAACGCGTGTTAAACCTGTCGATTATCCAAGTCCTCAATGGACGATTATTATTGAAAATAGGCAGATTGAAGTTCAACTCAGTAAGCTGAAAAGATGGACAAATTTATCCAGAAAAATAATTCACATCTATTTATGTAAGTATACATTTTAGGCACTGTAATAGGATATACTCGCATGTGATACTCAGTGATGCATTATTTATAATTCAATGGCGCTTCAAACACAATTTATTGCTTATAATGGCGTCAATGTGTTCAAACAGTTTCTTAACTTACTTTATATAGCCTTATTCTCTCCCGTTTTTTCATTGTAATTTTCTATATATTTAGGATAGGTGTTGAATCGTTTTGATTGCTCATGTATAGTATTGATACGATAAACAAATACTCAGTGATTAATCAATAGTATGCATGCGCTTTCATGTAATCACATAGTATAGTGCGATAAGCAAATAGTTGTCGTAAATTTCATGCTAGCTGGCACTCATTCGTCAGCAAAGCGTATCTACAATCTTCAGGGAACTCATGTCCCTTCTGAGATTCGAACCCAGGTTACTCAGTGAATGCTGCAGTCAGAAACGTTACCATTGAGCTCCTGGGGCACTCAGCTGACGTCCTATAGGACTTTGATTGAACACTGGTTGATAACTAGTGTAATAAGTCCTTGCTAACGAGTGCCAACTAGCAAGAAACGTAGGTTCAAGGCTTCCTTCAGACTGCCTACAATCATTTAATGTCAACCATTCAAAGTGAACAGTGATTAATGAGTCACTTAGTGGCATGGTGGCCACACTCCAAACTTGACTGTTAAAATTCATTTAGCTCCAAACAAAGGACTACACAAATCACACTAGTTGCTAACTAATATCTAGTCAAAATATTTATTTTCTTTATTTTTTCAATTTTGTTACAGCTTGATTCCAGACAGTAATTTGGTAGAAGTATGGAATTTCCAGTATGTGATATTGGTAGCCAAACATTTGCAGGCTGACCATTGATATCAGGTGTGCGTCGGTAAGGGATTGAACTCCGGACCATGTGCATGGTTGGCGAGCGTCTTAACCGATGTGCGACCGACGCACTGATAGTGTTGAAAAGTAATACGTTATATATATAGAGAGATAAGTTAATCACCTAATCCAAATTCATGGAATAAGCATGAATAACATGCAATCAAAATTATGCAAACCCTACAGCTGTTTTATGCAGATTTGCGATGAAAAACAGGGGAAGTAAGGCTACATAAAGGATATTGGGAAGCCATTTGAATGCATATTGATATGATTATGAGCAAAATACGTAATTTTCAACTTCTAATTTTCACTTCTAAAGCCACTTCTGAGTAATTATATCAATTATGTCACCCCCTATTACTCAATAATAGACCACTATATATTTTTGTAAGTATAAATACGATTGTACAGCCTCTGAAGATGATTTCGTCGATAAAGAAAATTTTCTTCGCTGAATCTGTCTTTTATTTTCTTCATGACTCAATGGGTATTTTCGGTGATTTGAAGCAAAATACTGTGTTGGAAACAACGTCATCCAATTATTAATAATAATAATATTATTATTACTGTATTACTCCCTGTATGTGTTCGATCGAATAAGCCCATCTATTCACTCTAAGGAAGATCTTTTATTTCGTTACTCTGAATAAATTATGGGAATATTCAAGTTATTCATAATAATGTAATATTGCATATTTTTTCGTTATACCTTCTACAAATAACCCAATTATGAGGGAAAGATGAAAATCGCATAGTTTCAAATCGTCTATTTTACATAGATTTTTACCAATTGGTGTACTTGCCGGTTCGCTATAAATAGTGAATTTGACAAAAACAAGTATTGATGGGATTGTGGTTGCTTTTACGTAGTCAGATGACTAACTTCAAACTCAAACGTCTTCCTTTTTTCGGATCTATATATAGTAAACTAGACACGTTTTCTAGGAGTTCGTCGGCTAGGAATCGAGTCTAAACCTCCCGTGTTGCTGATGCACATCCCTGACACCATCAGAGGTGTAAACCATGACTTCCAAGTTGCAATCAATGAAATCCATTGGAAAGGAAATAACTACTGGCTATTGGCTGGTCTCTGGATGAAATTCCCGGAATTTAAATGGATCAGATAGCTACTGACTTTTTTATTTGATTTTATGATTTTGTTTTCATTATATCTCGATTCCACACAGTGTTCTTGCTACAAGTATGGAATTTTCAGCATTTGATACCGACAACCCAAATTTTGGAGGCCGACCATTAATATCAGGTGTGCGTTGGCAGTGGATCGAACGCAGGACCATTTGCATGGTCGGCGAGAGTCTTAACCGCTGTGCCACCGACGCATAAAAATTAGTGTTCACTAGTCTTTGGATCTCATTCCGAATATTCCGTGGAAAATATACTCCTATGGTAACGTGAATCTACTGTGTTCGACCCGTACCAGATGATGAGTGCTCACTGATGAAGAATTTCAAAATAGGACGAAACCAATGTCCGTTGCTTCTCTGATTTTATTGTTCCGCCAACTGATGTCATCTCGTGATGAATCACACCTTGAAATCAATCTTATTCTTGCAACCCACTACTCAAAAACTCAAATAATTAGTTATTAAATAGAATATATATATATGTATATCTGACAACGGACTTACCAAATAATATATTGACAATAGACGGTGGTAAATTCAGCGTAACATGCAACAGAGCGCCAATTGCTTGTGAACCAATAAAAAAATAAGCTACAGGAACATTTTTCCCATTACCAGCTGTTTGTAATGCTCCACCGAGTAGAATACAATTAGCTAACCATGTGAGGATTATCAATGTACTGGTTAAGCATAAAACAGTCCAATTTATTGCCTGTTCATGATTAGATTCCTCACTTGATCTAATTGTACGTATTACTTCCATGCTTGTGTTAATTAGATATTCAGGTATATATTGATTACTAGTACTCATAAATCCATAAGAATTAGTGTTATTCATTATGTTGGAAGTGTAAGCTGATGATTTAAGTAATGTATCCTCGTTTAGCAACCCCATCAGAAGAATAACTCCTGTCTACTGATAAATTGGTGTGATTAGCGGTATTTTTAATCAGCTGTCGAAATTATTTTTTTAGATGTGATGATTAGGAATTCACATAGAATGATAAAAAGTTTCAGAAACTAACATACTTGTTAATAATATTTGTATTCTATGTAAATACATATATTTATGAATGATTTTATTCAAATGCTTATCTGATTGGTCAGTTTGATGAACCTCAAGGTCAAGGGAAGTTAAGAAAAACACTGATTGGATCAAAGACACTAGTGTGAATATTTCGCCAAATAAATAAAAAACAGAAATAAAATTTCCGGTTTAGAAATAGCCATCTCTATTTATATTCGTGGTTGTGCATGTATATAAAAAGTCATGAGGCGGCTAATTTTTTTTCGGCCAATTTATTTTCTTTAGTTGTACAATCGTATTTATGTTAAACGCTTTTCTTCACAATATAAGGATAGTAAAAAAAGTGATGAGTTGTTGTAGCCATAGTTTTAAATTTTATTACAGAAATGATGTCAGTTAGAGAACGACTGAAAAACCAGGAACTGTTTCGTCGTAGTTTGGGACTCTTCAGTAATACGCACCCACTATCTGGCTACTAGGATCCAATCCAATGGCTTATGGATTCCACTTAATAATTGGCCATCGGCCAGTGTCACCAGTGAGTATTTTCTCACTGCTAATCGCGTGGACCCTACTGGTTACTACCTCTTATTGGGTATCCAATTAGAACTTTGACGGTTGTACGCTGCTGAAGAGTCTCAAACTGGAGTGAAATAGCTCTAACTGACATTTTGGTCTCTCAGCGGTTCTCTAACTGACATCAATTGGTCGTCAAGCTTGAAATAAATCAAATCCATACAAAGTAATTCTTGAAACATATTCAGGTATTCAATAAAATCAGAAAGAGTTCAATAATAGTTTTAGAGTTACCTAATTAGATTATTAATCCAGTCAATGAGTTGAAATCAGGACACATGACAAAATCAAGGAATCGTGTAATGTGTATTTGCGTAACACATTTCGAACAATCTGATCACACACACGGACTTGTCAAAGGAATATATATGAAATTAATAAAGAGTTAAGAGGTGAGAAAATAGACTTAGGTCAAGTTAAAAGGACATATTCAAGGTCAAAATAACAATGACGACCACTAAACCAAATAGCAGAGGTAATAGTACATCTGATATGGTATCAAAACAAAATTTACCAAGGATGGTTTAATATGATGACGAATTGCTTTTGAACGCATAAAGGTGGTTTAAACTTTCTAAATGCCAGCTAGGGCTTCCACAAACTTTAGGATACGCTCTCTCCCAAACACGTTTTATAGATAGATTTGAAAGATATGTTAACGTCAATTTTATGTCCTGTCTCTATAATATATTTCGCAACAGAAGAGCTAGGTCTCCTGTTCTCACCATTATTAAGTTCTGAAGATTCTATTTGTTTTCGGAGCTATTTAGGAATATGCTGTGAAGCCAGTCCTTACTTGCAGAGATCGATGAGTCCTGAATTCATAAAGCAAACTAATTGGTTTAAAATCAAGGAAACTCTATTATTACGTAAGAGTTCAATAGAAGTATATGAGTTTTAGAGGGTTGTGAAGCAAACAAAAAAATCCAGGTTTGAAGAAAATAATAACGTAATAGCAGAAGTAGTCGAATACTCCTCTTTTGTATAAAGAGCTCCCGTTCCTCCATGTGAACGGCTAGAGCTTAAACAATTCAGAGGAGACATAAACGTTTTGCATTTAACAGATTGTTATTAACTTTGTAGATTACTTTGAAAGAGAAGTCCGTTAAGATATGATGACCAGTGTTGACAGGGTGTTCGATTATCGCACTCCTTATACAACCATTACTTGGTTTCTGTTGTTTTTTCAAAATAAGCAATTTCTAGATTTCGAAACAGTGGAAGTGGATGAAATCTTTGCAGGTGAACGTCTTACTTCATCTTTTGCTGATGAGAGCTTCGATGTAGTAATTCTTATTATGTGAGTGGTGAAAGTCTTTAGATTAACTGTACTAAAGATGTTCCAAAGCAAAAATGTAACTACTGGAGCTCCTTTATGATTGTTAAAATTTAATTGCATGTCATTGCACACAGAGTAATTGCTTCAAACAGTTTTGACTGGTAGTCCACTGTCATCATAGACAAAGCGAATAATATAACACTAGCGTCTTAATTTCCATATGAACATTGGAACGGTTGTTTGAAAGGATACAAAACCCAACGTTGATAAGAGGTAGCTTAAAAATCCATAATATAGATTACTATTATTTATTAATTCCCTGAGTTCCAAGTGGAAGAAAGAGTCACAGAGGCAAATCTACCCTCTCCACCCAGTTCTTTGTCATCACTCTCAACTGTCTTCACTATCATCTTACAAGCATTCTTTTTCCTAATCACATGATCTCCTCCATGTCACTGTCAAACTCCTAACTTATCACGTCCCCCGAGAGCCTCCCTAGAGTACCTGCTTGGGCGTGTGGTGTTACCTGAATGTCTTCTCAGTGTTCGTCCAATCCATCTTCATTCACTTATGTAGAATTATTAGGAAACAGGTTGACTGTTTGACTGATGAGATTTCGTGTTTCTGATTTGTAAGTTAATAACGGCCCTATGTCATAAATTAGGACTGATGACACGTGGAATTTTCAACATTTAATACATTATCACGTCTAATGCGCTTTCCTTAAACTACAAAGGGGGAAATAATCAACAGGTCATTTACGTTCATTACAATGTCAATGAGAATATGCAGAAATACTGACAACTGTATATTAAAATAGAAGAAAGTAAAACGGGTTGGCCATTTGAACTTCACTATCAAGCTAGCAAAATGCAGCTGTTGATGGAAATCTGCAACAGCCTATTCTAAATGATTTTGATATCACGTGCGTTCACTCTCTGAACCATTTGAAACCTTGACGCGCTTTTCGATTCCTTGTTTTCTTGACTCGAAGGGGAGCAGCCCAATAAGTCACTCCTCTGTAAACTATATATTAATGTAACCAGTCCCTTCTCAGGCGTAAGGCTAGCAACCCCACCCTGTAAACAAAGCAGCTAGAGAAACTTTATTACAGTGGGACACTGTACAAAAGCGCTCACATTATATAAGTGTCGCAGATCCAAATTCGTATCCTTTTCACAGAGTGTGACAGATTTTAACACCGATTTCAAGATAATGAAGAAGAGTTTTGTGTTTGAGATCTTGACTGACTTTGACATATTCATCTGTACCATGTGTATTTGAAGCGATACCGCCTACATAAGCAGCAGAAGTAATTTCATTCAGATGTCCCCCCTTGTTATTGTTGTTGGAAGGGCAGATGTATCGTCTCCTGCTTCTCTGTTTTCATTTGAAATTCTGTTTCCGCTGCCTTCTCTGCTAATGTTTTGTCTTTTGCCTTTAGATATCCGGGTCTATATGGCACTGGCCATAATAATAATAGTTCTATTCTGAGCAATGCTTATGCAGAATTTTCAGCGGCGTTTGTTGCATGATGTTTTCTTTTCGTCAAGGACCTTCAAATATAACAATGATTGACAGTAGGTTGTGTGACACAGTTCCATCTGAACTGGAACACAGACCAATCCACCATTATGATACCTCTTCTTTTTCTTCATCGAGAAATACACGACACTTTGTTGAATGCTAATTATAAAAGGTTCAGGAGTATATTTTGTGAAGCGAGGACACCATCCAGGAACGGTCATGTCATATATTAGTATAAGCTGACATCTAGGATAATGCTTCTTCTCAAGTTTAGTTGAAACTTGTGAATCAGCAGGCTTTATATGTTTTAAACACTCGCCAGAATAAATAATACTATCAGAGATCATATTTTACTAGATTTAAACAAACTGAATAAGAGAAATTATATGCAATACATTATTGATGAAGGTTTACGGTAGCTCAAGTCTCAAGCAACCTGCCGATTGTCCACGACACCCAAATCTTCTGGAATATACTTGTCAGTTCAATTCTTATGTTACTGCCAAGTGTTAGTTTGCAAGGATTAGACTGGGTATAGGATTCATCAGGAGCTGACATCAGGCACAGAACATTTGGAAAACCTGAGAGTACTGTAGAGCTATTTCGTTCCCGTTTCTTCCTTGGGACTCTTCACAGCACAAAACCACCATCAAGACTTCCCGGTTACATGACAAGTCCATAGGCCATTTAGCCACTGGAACCCGGTTCAGTGGCCCTTATAGAGGATTTACCTGGAGTGCTTAGCCGGGGTGCTTAATATGTATAACGAATAGGCAGAAGTAGGAATTGATGGGCCATTGGGTTGTCTCCCACCGGCTGAATGGTCTACGAGCTGTCCTCCTAACCGGAAGGTCCAGGGTTTGAACCTTCCCGGTTGAAGCGCGCTGACGAAGAGCCTCGAAATAGCAACTGGGACGAAAATGCTGTCCAGTACTTTTGCGTTATTACCATGATAATTCTCAGTTTGACAAAAATAGCTCAGTATAATTAAAGAAAAATTATTCTACCAGATTTTCAAGTGAAATTTCCACTGCCTTAAGGCAAGAATAAAATTAATTATTGCCGTTTTTCATTTTTCTTTTTCTTTAACCAGAAAATGATTGCTAACAAATGATTCGACAAACCGAAAAGGCGAAAATAGAAGTAATTATTAACCAAACTGTCTGAAATCAGGGTTAAACAAGTCTTAAAAGTAAAAATGCCTCAATTGCTTTCATTTTTTTCTCTCTCACCACATATTTAAACTGACCAAACTAAAGCAGAAGATAATTATTAAAACAAACGATAAAGATTGAACAATGTTCAATAGTTGTTTTAATCAACTAATTAGAATAGATAACAACAGAGAAAATTATTCACTTGATCCTACTGTATAATCTGTGAAGTTAAGAAAACAAAGTAATGACGGTTTTGTAAGGGATAATTTTTGGTGAAATCAATGTTTTAGTGGAAAACGTTTCTATCATTCATATGAACTGTAATCAAGATTTGACTGAATAGTTCCAAAATAATTGAGCGTCGATTGAGAAGTAGACATTTGTAAAAAATTATATTTATAAAATCTCAGCGAAATTGAAATGAATAATTCCAGCGTTTCGTTCG